ACAACGACAGATTTTAAGTGACACCACGATTTGACACTACTTTGAGAAATAACAGTTAATGTAAGTCTTGGAACGCGCAGGTAAATGAATCACGGCGTTAAATATGTCACTATCAGCAGAATGTGCCGCAGCATTACTATCTTTTAGATACCCTAGTTACATATTACATGAAGTCAGTGAATAAAAGTAAAGCCCAATACATTGACAGCTACAAGACGTGAAGTGAGGGAGGGCGAAATCTTGGGGGTCAAACTGTAATATTATTAAAGATACTGTAGGATTATCATTATTTAGAAGAAAGATAAAGTGTGAAACATGAGCTGATCAATTTGAAAACATTGTAGCCAAACTGAGCAGGATATTTAATTTTCAAAAGATAACAACACTTAGTTTACATTATTTTGTTAAGTAAATTGAATATTGAAAAATGGGGAATTCCTCAGTTAAGAAAAGAGAACATCTATGTAAGGAATGAGGCTTCATTCCTTTCAACTTCAGTGCCTTAGTATTGTGCTTGTGTATTCATTTCCTTGTTTTGCAATCAATAATTTTATTCTGGCTCGTGGATAACAACAAATTTTAAATATTATACATGAAAGATCCTAATTTGCAAGTTTACTCTTTTCACATCCTACTAAATAAACAAATCAATTTTTTCTCTTCAAACCCCCAAGTCTGACGCATTAGGTTGGAAGAGTTTCCTGGTTTCAGTTTCGTGATGTGTGAGGTGATAAAAAAAAAAATCATCACAGTTACAAAACAAAATGGTATTGGGGCATGCTACAAATATGCAAACTTGATTAAGTGCTAGAGATGGGGACAATAGGTAATCAGGAAGGCATATTTATCAGGCTCATTGGAATGTGGTTTGCCCTGCCTAAGGGTTGAGCCCCTTTGAAGTTCTCTTTGTTGTCAAAATTAATGTTCCAGTCCAAACAATGAGGACTACAGTTTCCACTTTTAATTAGTTAAAAAAAGATTGCAAGTGTAAGGTGCATCAATCATAGCTGGAGTAACTGCTGTCGTGTTGTTTTGATATTGTTGGACATTCAAGTTGTTTACCACCAAAAAGGGTGGTTGCACTTGTGGTCACAGCAAGTGACAAAATGATGAAATCCACAGTTTACCAACTGTGCCAAACTTGACCACAAGTGTGACCTTGGCTTTAATGTGTTTAAAACTTAATTAAATGCTAGGCAAAATCATTTAAATTAAGCTGGAAAATAAAATAAATAAGTGCATGTAGAATTACTTGGCTTAGTTTACGTGTATGTATTTTTAACTGGTCTGGTGTGATATTGTAGTACAATTTTCTGTTCTTTGTGTTAAAGGTGTTCAATAGTCAGTTGGCAAACTGAACTAAACTGCTGATGTTGCCTTTGACCAATGATAATGAATAACTCAGGTAAGCATATCAATATTTTGCAATTCTTTTACTGAAGGAGGATTGGTGCTTATGGCAAATAAGTGTGATTCAATATTATGAGGATAGGATAGAGTCAAATGCGTTTTGTTGTTGAGCACTGACACTTACTGTCAGTAGTTTGATGGGTACAGGCAAATGTTTGAGACAACTTGGTGGTAGGTTGGAGGGAGAGGGTGTGACGTGATGAACTAGCACCCCAAACTCAATGAAAGAATTTGAAGAATGGACAAAAAAAGATCTCATCCAGGAGAAGTAAGAAATCAGTAAAGATGCTCTGTGGCCATAGAAATCAAAGTAAAGCACCAGCTCCAGTAACTCCAGCAGTCATTTAGTTTGTGGTCAGGTGGACTTAACATGTATTTGTAGCCTATATGCTCTTCTCACAGAAGTGGAGAGGAAGTGAGTTACATGTCTTTACCTTACCTTTGTCCTGTTTGTTCAGCTAACATACCTGTATGTACCCCAAATAGTGCTGCCTTTGATTAATTGCTGCCATGAAATAAGTGTCCTTCATGACAGCAACAATAGTGATAAACATCACCCTGAAGTAAGTGCCTCTCCATGATCAACAAGCTCCCACTTTTCAGAAACATAGAGTGGTGCTTATTTAAAGATACCTTTTCCTCAGATTAAGATTAAAATGTGATTTTAATAGTTCTGCAATATTGGTTAATTCTCATAAGGTGTGTTTAAGGTGGCTCAAAACAGTTTCCAGCATTTAGATTTGGATGGGTCGTTATAACCACTCTTTATCACTTCATGCAACAATCATGGTACCAAAAAACTGCACGATCATCAGCTGTAATTAAGGGTACTTTTAGAAGGTCATACTGTTGCTATGGTAACCTATTGTGTCATGAAATGAAAACAAAGTGTTCACCATTGATTGGGCAGTTTTTTGATATCATGATTGTAGCATCAAGTGATAAAGAATAGTTATAAACAACCCATCACAATCTAAGTGCTAGAAACTGTTTTGAGCCACCGTTTTAAACTTTACGAACTCTGAACTCACCCCTCTCACCTTAGTACGAGTTTTTGTCCACACACGTGATTTCAGGTGATTTTAATTAGCCAATCATGGCCTCGAATGTGCTCGCACATACATTTGAACTTCGCTGTCATAATTTTCCAGATTTTTCATCTTTGTTGTATTTTCTTGCCGTGTTTGAGATTTTAGGCTAGCCTTGCTGCTGTTTTTTGAGTTTTGAGTCTAGCTTCTTCACCCTTTTTAGCCATTGTGATTCGCTGTTTATTGTATGTTCCAGATTTCGTGGTTGGTTGATTAAATAGTTCATATACTATGGAGTTTGAGCCTACAACTTGCTGAATACAATTCCCAACATGTGCTGTCAACTTCAATTAAGTACCAGTCAGCAGCCCTTTTCCATGAACGTAGGGTACCTGTAAAATATCTTATTTAAAAAGCTATTCAATGATGTTCTTTTGGATGACTTGTAATTGTTGTTGTTTTATCTTTCTTTATTCAGTAGCCTTGGTGGCTGGCTTAGCAACAGGAATTCCAGTAGTTGTTCTCGTATCAATATACATGGTCTATTGCTGCTGTCGTCGAAAGCAGCAAGATGATCGTCTGCAGGAACCTCGTCTTTGGAGGATCAAGGATGTTCACTCCTCCCGTGACCCATATATCCCACCTTTTGTACCAAGAATTGTACAGAAATTTGTACAGCATTCTCATCATGGAACTCGTAATAGTAGTAGTGCCACCTCAGCGCAGACTTCACCTATAGAAGAAAAATCATTTTTCAGTGAGGATTCTGGCTCTTATCGGACAGCCCCTGATGATGCTGGGATGCCAGAAAAGAGGCACAGTTTGGGCAGTTTTGAGGCTCTTAATGTGCCAACAATTAGGCGATCTTCCCTTCTTCAACTAAGTACTTCAAGTGGAGACAGCTCTGAAAGTATCTATGAACAGAGAAAGAGTTCAGATGTCTCCAAGTCTCCAAGAAATTTTCCAAAGAGTAGCAGCAAGTCTTTTGAATTTGTCAGGCCCATTCCTGTTAAACCACTCATAACAATTACCAGAGTAGAATCCAAGGATGATATGAGTGCAAAATTGCATGGAGGTGATGTAGATCCAAATGGGCAAAGTCATTCAGATTCACAAGTCCTGCCCATCAGGAGGTCACCAAAACCTTCGCGTAGTTTAGATAATGTGTCTGTGCCATCAAGGTCAGGTAAGGAGAGAAAGGGAAGCACTGACAGAAACTTGGGAGAAAGAAGAAAACCAAGCATTGGTGCTGAAGGTGATGAGCAAAGTAAACGTAGTCAAGCAACTCTTTCTAAAATTCCTGTGAACATTCCTTCCCAAGTCATTCACCCACGTAAGGATACAAGACGAAGGAGTTCTCAGAGTGGTTTAGGCAGACTGAATGTGTCCTTGCAGTATAAACAGACCACATGTGATTTGTTTATAAAGGTAACCACTGAGAAAACAAACTTTTTCTGAGTTGTGACATGTGCTTTGAAGAAAATAATGGGGTGATTTTTGTTTAACCTTGAAAATGTTTTCATTAGAGTTTTTGACCAACCCAAACCTGTTCACATTTGTTCCCATTTCTTAAACCAGTCAACTTTTCTCTATTCTCTTGTTTTTTGCTTGCATTCCTCTGTTTGGGTATGATCATTTCGATCATATTAAGGGAAATGGAGTTTCAGCTTTGGACAATTTGTGAGAACTGCAAAATGGCATAATGTTGTGACTCAATTGTTGATTCTTGCTGGGGTAACATAGATTTGTTGTCAAAGTGATGAATAAGAAAACAATAATCTTGTAGAATATCACCTCATTAAATTCGCTTGGCCATGAGCTTTGTTATTGAAGTATCCACCCATGTTCCCCACAATTTTGCAAGAAATTCTTATTATTTGTTAGTTTTTTTTTTTTTTTGATCATGGCAAGCAATCAAATGAAATGATTTTAATGTGGTTCTCCTAAGAAGAGAGTCTAAAATTGAGGAATGAGGTGTTCTGGTCCTTTCTTTTCTTTGCCTAGATCCTACAAGCACGGGAGCTGCCACCAAAGGACCTTCGTAATAATACATCTTCACCATACGTAAGAGTTTATGCACTCCCAACACGGAGACACAACCACAGGACAACAGTTGTAGAGAAGAACCTTCATCCAGTGTGGAATGAGCTGTTTATCATTAGTGGACTCACTTTGTCAGAGATTAGACAACTAGCATTACACTTTCTAATCATACATCACCAGCCAGTGTCACGCAATGTTGTAATAGGAGAGGTGATGATGACGTTAGGTGGAATGGACTTGACTGGAGGAGAAGTTAATGTTTGGAGAGAACTCAGACCACATCAATTCCAGAATGTAAGCCAAGGGAGAGTTTATGTGAATATCAAAATGGTAATAAACCCATTGGTACCTGAATCAACCAAAACTGGCCTGGGGGGGAGCATGGTCCATGTACCACTTGTTATGTCATCACATTTCACACCAGAAGAAGTTTTTGATACCCAGCTGATTACCTGAGCAAAATTCTTACAAATTATACTTGTTTATAATTATTGAACAAACATGATAGGATGGACTGGGACTGAGATACAAATATCGTTTCTCAAATCAAAGAAAAACTTGACTCTTCCTACCACAGCCACTTTCAATTAAAAAGGACCACTTTCCTTGATGGAAACTTTTTTAATGGGAGCAAAGGCAACAAAACTACAGGAGAAAGAGAGAGAAAACAAAAATGAGCAGAGGCAAGAAAAAAATCAAAAAACCTGAATGGTACATGTATAGCTATCTCGGACCCAAAAACTCTAAAGTCTGCTTTTTCACATGCTTGAACAAATCACTAAAAGGGCTATTTTCCTCAAAACGAAAAGGCATGTTAGTTTTGATTTCAAATGAAGTTTTTGCCTATTTGACTGCAATCCCTTGGGAAAAGAGTGCTTAATAGAACTGTGTAGTATGAAATGGCCATTTGAAAAAATTCAGACATGGTCAGTGGGTTATTTTTGTATCATTAATGTCATTTACCTACGTTAGTCTTGAAAAATGTTGTCTCTTTTCGGTTTTAAACTTCTCAGATAATCAGAAAAGATCTGCAACTTTACCGGGTGAAGTTAGTCAGTTTGTGGTTAGTACTCTTGTGCTAACCTGACCAAACAAAATGTAACAACTTCAGGACTATTAGATACATATACCTGATACAATAAATGTCAGCATGTGACCAGCTTGTTTTCTTTCATCACTCACTGTGTGTGTAAACTTGAGGATGTCAAAAGTGATCAAGTCAACAATTATATCAAGTAATAAATTTAGCAGGCATGCACATTTAAGTTTATAATAATATTGATTTCACAATATTAATACAAAGGTGGCACAGTCAGTGCAAAAATTTGTGCTGAACAATTCTAAGTGAATTTTTTTTTTGAAATGAATTTGATTCTAAACTGCATAGTAAAGCCAACATCTAAGGAGAATCTTGTCTTAGTCATAGTTCTTTTGTATAACCCAGTGCTCAACATTGTGGTGGGCTTACAATCAAGAAAAACTAGTTAGATCATTTGAAAGATCTCTTGTATTACTCTGTTTACTATTGGTGTCTGTCTGTCTATGTATGTACATGTATGTTTGTGGTTGATTGAGAGCCACCTGGAAGATATAAATAAGCTAAGGGATTGACTGATTTTTATTTCAGATCCTAGGAGAGCTGCATATCTCTGTTTGTCATCAACCTCTTTCCAGTAAACTGTCTGTAACTGTGTTAGAAGCAAGGAACCTACCAAAAATTAGCAGCCTAAATATAGGAGGTATCTCACAACTAGTTTCTATTTTCATCACTTCTGTATCGCACAACTATTTCTAGGTCAAAAGCCTGAGTTTTACATGTAAGAATATGGAAGGACCTTTTAAGGTGATATTAGTGACCCAAAACCAGGGGCAGATCCAGGATTTTTCTTAGGAGGGGGTGCACCACTATAGAAGGAATGGTGCAACTAACTGGTGAGGTAGACAAATTTTAAAAGTGAATACCAAGAAGAAGGCTTCATCTCAGGTGGGGTGCGCACCCCCTGCACCCTCCCCCTAGATCTACCCCTGAAAACAACACATCCAAAGATTTCAGACATTGTTTCAGAGACTTTCAGGTCCAAGTCCTGATCTGCTTTGCTAAACATAATCTAGTCATGTGGACTTCCCCCTCTAAAATTGGAGAGTTTGGAGAAGTACTGCTTTGCGTAGATATTTCTTGATAGGGTGCCGGTTCAGGCTAAAAAAAGTTAACACCATCATAGTTTGCCCTTCTTACATTACAATGACGGGAGACCAGTTCCTGGATCTGATTTCAATTAGAGAATTTGTCCATTGAAAGAGAATTCAGTGTAAACAGACTGAGAGTTCAGTGTAAACAAACATCACCCAGTTTTTATAGACTCAGTGTTGCTGTTGTTCCAATTCCAGATCCATATGTCAAGGTAGAACTATTTTCAGCAAACCGCCGTGTTGCAAAGAAGAAAACCCGTGTGAAAAAGAAAACAGTCAATCCCAAGTTTGCTCAGACTTTTACATTTGATTTGGGAGGAAAGCTGGCACTTGACCACATGACTCTGATGTTCACTGTACTGGTTCAGGATTCAAGTGGATGCCATGAACGGATTGGCCAAGTAGTACTAAGTACAGCGGCAGGTGATGGACCAGAATTTGATCACTGGAGTCAGGTGATATGTAATCCACATTGCCCTATTGATCAGTGGCACATGATACATGAATAGTAAGCTGGAGCCATCATGTCTCATGGCTTTCGATCGGCTTTAAGCCTGGTTACTGTTTCAAAAACATATGTTAATTAGAAGTTATGCGGGGGTGCTGAAAGAAAGCTTTCCAAAACACTGTTTCTCTCTAACAGCATGATCCACTGGCTGACTCCTATTGAACTGCATTCTGGTTGGCTATATCGTCACCCACTAGTAAATGGCATAAAGCCCTTGGAACATGCATCTTTTTTCCACTTATTGTCAAGAAGTATTAAACAACATCAGTGAATCAGTTTTGTTGATACTCTCTGTTGACTGTGCATTTCAAACACACAACACAAACTCTGAAGTCTAAACATAATTATAACAGCAGTCAACAAACCTTGAAAGAAAAGGACAAAGCCATTGATTGAGCAGAGTTCATTTGTCATTGAAAGGCACAGTAATGGAACAGCCACTGGATTATTCTAAAACATTAAGACTCATGATCTTCGTTTAAATAAACTTCAACAGTTAACTTAGTTCTTTGCCCCTTACCAAAGTAAGAAACCTTTGCAGTTTAATAAATAGTGAATGTCATGTGGTAATATGGCACATAATGGAAAAACAATGAAATGTTTGTCCATTATACATGTACAAATAAATAGTTATTATCAACTAATAATAATTATCAATAGACCTGAAAATCACGTTGATTATTTTCTCTGTCCTTAATTAGCTTTCTTCTAATATTCATTATTTATTATTTACATGCACCATTCAAGCATGTACATTATTTGTACTATGTGCCATATTATTTTGGAAACCCCATTCAATTAGTCTAGATACGCTCAACTGTGAGTTATATGAATGAATCATATTTTCTCAGACGCGGCTGTTTAAATTAAATCATATACTTGTCTTTGAAGTGTGGTTTACTAAGACATTAAGCCACAACAGATCCTGATTCTCTACCCTAAAATTGACTATTTGTTTTAAGGTGATTCCTCAGAATTGCATTGCTCAGACCTACTGCACAGGTTTTTCATGTCATTAGCACATGCACAAGCTCATACACAACATCAAGAGATTTCCATCAAGCTAAGCTCTTAAACGAGCATGTTGACCTGTTTTTAATTGCATAATGTTGGTGTACAAATTGTTCTCTCAAATTAGAAATATTAGAATGAAAAAAAAGATATACAGCTGTAGCTGAAAGATGCACAAAACCATTATTCAAGGATGCAAATTATGACCTTCAAAATGATGCAAGGAGTGTTATGAGTCGATGTCGTGTAAAATTAATATGTAATTTTGCCATATGTTGCGTATGCTGGAGACTTTCTATGTATCAAGTTTCTTCCCGAGTACTTCTTGAACAAACTTTGCTTTCAACTACCGCAAAATGTAACGTGAACCGATTAAATAACGCATGTGATTAGGCATAAATAGGATGAGATTGGCCCATGATATCTCTTTTGTGAGCATGATGACCTATCTTTTTTTGTATAAACAGTGCTTGGTAGGGAATATTCAGGGAAAGCTTCAAAAAACTTGTTCAGCAAGTTTTGTTTCTGAGGAATCACCTTAAGCCCCAGTTCCCACTATGCAATGTCTGTATATAGATCGTTTTCACCGTCATGCAATGAAAAATAAATCAAAAACCGTTTGGTGGGTGACGTCAAGAAAATGCAATCTTACAGAAGATAAATGAAGAAACGTCTCAAAGTTTTTGGTTTGTGCATTGTCCCAGACTTCACATATTTGCCAAAATGTTTTACACAAATTTACAGAGCCCAGTAGGGAACCGCATATATTGGTGTACATGTACACCATATATAGTTGGTGGCCCAACTATATATGGTGTACATGTACACCACACTATAGTTGGTGGCCCAAGTATAGTGTAACCATCTGGAACTTAATTTCTTTGGTTATCCAGGCCACTGAGTATCTATACTACACATACATTTGCATAAACACTTTTCCAGCTACTTTTACTTCACAAATGGCTAAAAATCACTAGATAAGTATATCTTTTTCAAGAAACGCGATCATAGCTCTATGTCACACACCGAAATTCAAAATGCACTGGTTTCCAAAAGAAGGATGCCTTCAAGCTGAAAAGTTGTCAGCAGATATACATTCACACCTCTTATGCCTGATGAGGATAGAAACTCTGGTGGCTCTTTAGTTTTGGATTTAAGAACTTGATGACATCTTGTGAAAACGATCTGTTGATGTGATGGCAATTCAAACTCATGATCAATAGTTTAGTTTGCGACTCAAGTTGCACTTCTAAGAGATTATATACATTTATGATATAGATAGGACCCTGTGTGCACTCTGATTGGTCAAAAACCCATGTTTTATCAGAGTATAAAACATAGAAAAAGCGTGTTTTATTGTTTTGCGTGTGTAAAATCTATATCATAAAGCAAATGAAGAAGCCTAAGCCATGTACTACACTGTGATAAAACACTCTGGATATTTGAGAACACTCGAGAAATGTAGAAAACACTTGCCTGCGGCTTGTGTTTTCTATATTTCTCTCGTGTTCTCAAATGCCCATCATGTTTTATCACAGTGTAATACACTGCTTAGGCTTCTTTATTTGTTAAATTTATCTGACTTCTTTGCCTTGTATGCATAATACATATTATGAGGACAAAACATCATAATTAGAGAACCTACATACATAGTACCCAAATTATTATAGAATACATGTAGATGACCATCTGAATGAAATTTGAGGTACTACTTCCTTGCACACTGTAGTGTTTTTTCTGTTTTTGAATGACAAATTTTCTTTGTTCTGGATTTCCTTTCCGTTATATTGAAAGAGTTTATTTAAGTGAATCCATGCAAGTTTCTGAAAGCTAAAATTAAGCCAAACTGTGGCAAGAGATAACATTGCTCACTATGATGAATCTACTTGCACAGCCACAGCCAACTTAATGCAACAGTAAGATTTATAATTTTATACATGTGTATAGTTGTAATGGAGTTAAAAAGAGGTGTATAGTTGTAATGGAGTTAAAAAGAGGAGAAAGGCTACATGTTTCAACACAGCATAGTGTCATCACTTGCCTGGTACATGGCCTTGTTGATGTGCTATTTGCACAGATAAGTCCTTATTACTAAAAATTGCATGATTTATGTGAAAGAACTTGGTCATTAGTTTGTGGTATCAGTTCTATCCCTAAAAGCACCTCTGCTATTTAAAATATTACTTCAATTTGGGCTTGCTGACTCAGTTGTTTTCAAGTTGTTCTTTTTTAGATAAAACAGTTTGTTTTTGGTTTTTCAGAAGGTAAATGGCCTTAAAAGCAAAATGATCTTTTCCCAACAAACAAATTCATGATATTCAATATTAAATTCTCATACTTAAATGCGTGCTGAACATGAGATCTAATTTTGCATCAACAGCTTTCTTCCAAGCATTTAAATCCATTTGCTGATTGAATCGAATATTTCCAGAATATGCAACTTATTTTTTCTAATAGGAAAAAAAGATTTAGAAAAGAGAAGATAAAATGTCCTGGATATGTAATCTGAAAGTCAATGTTTGAAGAGGACACAAAATACACAGGCACTGTCATCTTCTTCACGTATTTTGGACGTCACATACAAATGTAATGTTCCTCTTCAAGCATGGCATGATCACCCAAGTAACTGCTGCCCAAAGTTATGCTGGCTTCTATTTTTTTGTCATAAAGAAGTATTATTTTTGGCTTTTTTATCCAGATTATTTCATTAGAGTCTTTCCATACATTTTATTTATTATTTTGTTACTGTTTTTTTTTTTTCGTGACTATATAGCTTTGGTTGTGATTGCTAAGCATTCCTCTCAGTCTCAGTTGATTTTTTCAGGAAACATTTTGATATTAAATGATTTGTGTCATGATACTTGCAGTCATTTTCTTTGATATGAAAAATATCATGAAAATTGAAAGTGAAGGAATCTTCAGGGTAGCAGTAAGATAGAAAAACACCAAAGTAGCGATAAGGATAGTTAACTGACAGAGATTAAGATGTATGACAAGAAAAAAAACACACGAGAAAATAACTAAGTTTTTCAAGTCTCTAATCCATGGCACAGGTCCTTTAACAAGGGAGGAGATGAAGTTTCATCACAGTTGATGGTCAAATGTAAAATTATCATGATCTTTTTAGACACAACTCGCAGACAGCCGGGGCTGGGCTGAAAAAAGAAAAAGATTTTCTCGCGGCAAATATTTTTTTGGTTTCTTCTATTTTTTCATGCAGTGACTGAAAAGTCTATCTTTTGTTTAAATTTTGAGATCTTTTAAATGGGATACCATGTTGAGACATTGAGGGTTATTGTACTGTAGATGACAGTAGAGCGGATGGGTGAAGGAGGAAAATGAAAAATTAAGATAAGAAACTAGATGAAGATATATGTGTAAATTGGTTACGAAATAATATTAAGGGCTGTACTCAATTGACTTTTTAAATCTACTCAGGAAAAATACTTTCCAATCAGTTGCTATGCTTTGGATCTGCTTGGTATCCAGGTTGAAAGAGTCAGTTAAGAACAGGCCCAGAATGGAAGAAATTAACAAATTATTTATTTTGAAAATAAATTTGAGAGTCATCCTTGTTATGAAAGAAAGATCTATTAACTATTTATTAGTATGACACTATTTAATATCGTATTTAGTTATTAAAACTGATGGAATGAAGTTATATTGTGGATTTAATAAATTTATTTGGAGATATATAAACTGTGGTTTTTGTAGCTTTTCTTGCCCTGTTTTTCTAACGTACAAATTCATTTTACTGAGCGCGTACACTTTCTCTAGTTCTAGCTGAGAGAACGTAGCGTCATAGGGAAACAATGATGTTCGTGACTGACTATGATTGACAATTGATTGATACGGTCACCGTTCATTGGTCAATAGGGAGCTTGAGCGATGCCAAGGAGGACACCTAGTCAAAAGTGAATTTATATTTTATCAGCGAAATTCGCAGTTGTCTAGATCTGTTCAGTACGCTAATGGCTCTAAAAACGTGCTCAGGCTAAATATGCAATAACAGCGTTTGTACTAAAAATTAGCCGTCGTAGTTCGCGTTTGTCAGACTACGCAGAAGTTGATCATTTCACGTTCTTGTTTTGCAGAAGACGGCAAAGAAAAATACAAAGATTTTTAACGCACGTGCACAGCTATTGTTCTGCTCATTTAACCTTTTGTTTGGTGACATTCTCGTTGCTGTCGTCGTAGTTTTCTCAAGCTCCCTATTGTTTGGGGCTTGTCTCACTTGGACTAGCGTCTGATTGTCCAGTATATTTCGCTTCGTTGGAACTCTCCTCGCACGCTCTGCGTGCCTATTGTTTAGGTTCCGCTTTGAGGTAATGGACGAGGTTGAAATCAAGTTTGCTGGGGATAGGTCGAGGTAGAGGGAGCAGATGTATGCAAGAGAATTTTAAGGTCAAAACGCACAACATATAATCGATGGAATTAACTATTTACAACAAACCAACAACGACTTTCATTTCATTCAATTTAATCCTACTCGATTTCCTTGGAAAAGGCTATGGTAGTCATTCAAATTGGTAACTAAATCATGGAATCCCCGGTCCATCGACATCATCTGTGGCCCCAGAAAGCAGTTGGTTTGAAGGAACATTACTCCGAGCATGACTTTGAAATCAATTGAAAATTGATGGTGTAGTTTTGCCAGTAAGAATTACAATGTTCTAGTAGTCATACATGATGTCTGGAATACTTAAAATTCTGCCCCCTCCTTGCCGTGTGAAAATCGCCAAGAAATAATTACGCTTTGCTGTCCCTTTAACAATTATTTTAGGCGCGAAGGTATAATTTGAACAAAAATGTAACAGAGTTCCCGTGATAGTGCACTTGACATACAAACTGTGGGAAAATCTTATGAGCCACAAAAATAAACTCGATTACCCCTCCTTCCCTCCCAACCATGGTGAGTAATCCCGTCCCATCCATGGTAAATCAACAAATGTCACCGAAAACAACATAAATTACAATTTATCGTACAACAATATCCTCATGGGCTTAAAGTGATGCTATAACCAGACAGCTCCCTTCCTTGCCCCTGATCTTCTTAAAAAATAGTATAAAATATAAAGCTTGAAATGTAGTTTCTGAATATCTGACGTCTCTACTAAGTTGATCTGTAACATCTTGCTAGGAAGTTAAGTTTACTGATCGAGCAATACGAAGTGCACTTTTATCGAAATTATGGCCACCAAACACGTCTTCCACCATATTTGCAATTTGCGCTGTGCCAAGAGACAATGCCAGGTAAGAGAGGTAATCTCCCATAAAAGCCTTATTTCCAATCTAATAGGCCATTTCCCAGTTGCCTTTTGCCTCTGTGTCAAAACGAGCTTGAAAACGTGTTTTGCCAAGAGGTTCAATTGGATGCAAAGCAAACACGTTGCAATATGAAAGGTTTTTCAAGGAGACTCGTTTTGAAGCAGAGGCACAAGGTAACTCGGAAATGACCTGTTTCGAAAATCCCAGGAGGGTCTATAAATAGCCAATCCTGTGACGCGGATTTTGCTCGCGTGGACAACCCAAGCGGTTTTACACGCATTTTTCATCCTCCACGAAAACATCCACGCAACACGCGTGTTAACATTTTTCGCCAAAGAACTGTGTACCATGTCTAAATAGAGAATAAACATACGTGTAAAATCACTCGGGCTACCACATGAACAAAACTCCGCGCCATTTCTAGGCCGCCCTGGGGTTTCCGAAACTGGAGGTGACGTAAAAATAACTTGAGATGGATTACCTTGGGAATAAGGTCTATATTGGGGATTAACACTCTTACTCTTCATGCTTTCTTGGCCGTGGTAAACGTAACTTTAATATAACACTCTTCCACGAGGAAAATGTTTTCTAGTTTCGATTAACATTTACACCCTTGATTTACAATTACAGTTGTTTTGGTAAAGTATTTGGAATTTAAATTCTAACTCCTTTGTCAGATCAGAAACTTATCACCTCTGAGGTGATAAGCTCCCGGTCAGATCTATGGTCAAAATTATAGTATTTGTTTCATGTTTCTTTGATAAGGAACGAAGTTCCCAAGAAAACATTACAATTTTGAAATACAAATGCAAGCCTCATTTTCCCTAAGGAGAATAATTTTACCTCCTTGACGGTATGTGAAAAAATATCTATAATTTTGACTTGTTTCTCCTTCACTCTTACCAGAAACTCATTTCGTTTTAATTTTTTCATTTGCTTTGACAAGCTTTTGCTTTTGGCATCACGCGGATAATTTTAAAAAGGCAAAAATTTTGCCAGTTATATTAACGAGCTTTTATTTCCAACCTTAGAATTTGGCAAGTGTTAAACCCAGTTTTACTCATTTTCTTTACAAACATTCTTATATTAGTGTTATACCGATTGATCTGTTTTCATTAGCTTCATCATCTATTATCTCTGTTGGTTATTCTTTCATAAGAGTTTCTGGAAGGTCTTTCATTTTCCTGTGTTGACAATGCGCTGCTCCCTCTGCTGGACACTGAGTATCGCGGGCGCTGTTTTGTTGTTAACTCTGTTTCTTCCTCTTGGATGAATGGCTTGTGACACGAGAAAAGCATGCCGGGATGGTCATCCGGGACTTTAGCGCAAAGTTCCAGAATCAGAAGCAAGAATGTAAGTCCAGTGATAAAGAAAAACACACAGCATACTTTATATAGCGAACGGTATTCGCTACTTCGCCACTTTGGGTCGTCCCCAGGCACAAAATCTCCAAGTCCAATGGTAGTTAGCGATATAAAACAAAAGTACAGCGCTTCAAAATAGCTCCAGTCTTCAAGCAACATGAAGAAAACGGCGGGAATTAGCATTACCAGCACGACAACTCCGCACATTATTAACGATAGATGGAGAAAGCGGAGGTAAGCAGGAGGGATTCCGCGTACAGTGCAAGTACTACACAGAAACGTTTCAAGTAAGTCGGTCAACTGAAGGAGTCTCTCCACAATGGCTGTTAACATGATGGCCGTCATGGGAATACCAAAAACTGCAAACACCATACAAAACACTTTGCCACCATCGGACAGGGGAGCGATATTTCCGTAGCCTGTGAAAACATTGTTTATAGTTAACAGTAATTATAAGCTATGCTAAACGGGGACGTTTATTAAGCTGATGTGAAACGTTTGTTAAGCTTAATCACTACTACATTAATTGAAATGCAAAGGAAATGGTCCACTGCTGTTGAAATTTCAGCCCTTGTTCACTGAAGCTGGAGTGTTAGCACGAGTTACGCTTGCACGAAGTTTTGTTCTGAAATTGACGTGAAAAAGCTAGTCGGGAGGACTTCTTCAAATTCCACATTTGTGTTTTTGAAAAGTCACAAACAGCTTATTCGATTTGCTCAGCTTTCAACAATTCACTCAAATTTTCATCCTTTGTTCCTGGTGCATTTTTTGTAAGTAAAGCTGCTTATGTATTAACCTTGGCCCCGTACAAGTTTTGACCAAAAATACAGCAAAATCCCCGTGATAATGCTCCCTTCATTATACGTGGGAGAAAAAAGCTAAATTAAATCAGGCGGCTTTTTCTTGTCTCTATCGCACCACCATGATCTGAGCAGAATTGACTCTGAACGAGGCCCCGTCCACATTACGCCAGAAAAATTTGAAATGGCGTTTTCACTCCGAAAACGCATCAAATATTTTCCGTCCACACTACGCCAGAGAAATTTGAAAACTCAACAATCACCGGCGGCAGAAATGCTTGAGTGCATCCTTTAGGGTTAGGGTTAATCACAAGATTATCAAGACGTAACCGGTTTAATTTGAAAACCTCCGTTTTCAAAACGTTTTCCGTCCACACTAAAACGTAAGGCCGGCGTTTTCAAATTACTCCAATTTGATGAGAGTTTTCGAAAAGCTCCGTTTTCGATCCGGATTTGTGTGGACGGTAGGCCTGTAAATCATAGAAATAAATCTGCGTTTTCAAATTTCCGGCATAGTCAGTCCTTTGCATAGTAATTTAACCTGTGGATCAGAAGCAATAGGCAGATTTTCATCAATGTGGTCTCGTTAACTTCAAGCTTATGTTACCTCTTGTGATTCATGCTGGCTGAATGCATTAATTGAACAGTCAGGATACACTGAGCAGTTTTCAATTGAGTGTCTTGAAAGTTAATCACTCTGGTCAATCAAAAGTTACACAGACAACCCATCTAGACGGCAAAACGTGTGCAAGCGAGTCACTATTGGTTCTAGTTTTACTTCTAATTGGATGCCTGAGTGGCAAAGTGAGGCGAGTTCTTTTAAGCCTGTCGCGTAGCGTATAGTCTGCGAACACCGACGTATTTTCGGCTGTCACTTGCATGGTTTCTGCGGACCCAGGTGACGACCGGAACTGTACGTCTGTGTTCGCAGGCTACCTAGCGTAGCCATGCCAAACCAAAGTAAATGGGAATGAAAGTCGCTTTAAAAAATAAAATGTTGGCTTGATGCTCGGTTAAAGGCCTTTTTTTTCTTTTTTCGACATGAATTTTCCTCTAGTTTCANTCAATAGGGAGCTTGAGCGATGCCAAGGAGGACACCTAGTCAAAAGTGAATTTATATTTTATCAGCGAAATTCGCAGTTGTCTAGATCTGTTCAGTACGCTAATGGCTCTAAAAACGTGCTCAGGCTAAATATGCAATAACAGCGTTTGTACTAAAAATTAGCCGTCGTAGTTCGCGTTTGTCAGACTACGCAGAAGTTGATCATTTCACGTTCTTGTTTTGCAGAAGACGGCAAAGAAAAATACAAAGATTTTTAACGCACGTGCACAGCTATTGTTCTGCTCATTTAACCTTTTGTTTGGTGACATTCTCGTTGCTGTCGTCGTAGTTTTCTCAAGCTCCCTATTGTTTGGGGCTTGTCTCACTTGGACTAGCGTCTGATTGTCCAGTATATTTCGCTTCGTTGGAACTCTCCTCGCACGCTCTGCGTGCCTATTGTTTAGGTTCCGCTTTGAGGTAATGGACGAGGTTGAAATCAAGTTTGCTGGGGATAGGTCGAGGTAGAGGGAGCAGATGTATGCAAGAGAATTTTAAGGTCAAAACGCACAACATATAATCGATGGAATTAACTATTTACAACAAACCAACAACGACTTTCATTTCATTCAATTTAATCCTACTCGATTTCCTTGGAAAAGGCTATGGTAGTCATTCAAATTGGTAACTAAATCATGGAATCCCCGGTCCATCGACATCATCTGTGGCCCCAGAAAGCAGTTGGTTTGAAGGAACATTACTCCGAGCATGACTTTGAAATCAATTGAAAATTGATGGTGTAGTTTTGCCAGTAAGAATTACAATGTTCTAGTAGTCATACATGATGTCTGGAATACTTAAAATTCTGCCCCCTCCTTGCCGTGTGAAAATCGCCAAGAAATAATTACGCTTTGCTGTCCCTTTAACAATTATTTTAGGCGCGAAGGTATAATTTGAACAAAAATGTAACAGAGTTCCCGTGATAGTGCACTTGACATACAAACTGTGGGAAAATCTTATGAGCCACAAAAATAAACTCGATTACCCCTCCTTCCCTCCCAACCATGGTGAGTAATCCCGTCCCATCCATGGTAAATCAACAAATGTCACCGAAAACAACATAAATTACAATTTATCGTACAACAATATCCTCATGGGCTTAAAGTGATGCTATAACCAGACAGCTCCCTTCCTTGCCCCTGATCTTCTTAAAAAATAGTATAAAATATAAAGCTTGAAATGTAGTTTCTGAATATCTGACGTCTCTACTAAGTTGATCTGTAACATCTTGCTAGGAAGTTAAGTTTACTGATCGAGCAATACGAAGTGCACTTTTATCGAAATTATGGCCACCAAACACGTCTTCCACCATATTTGCAATTTGCGCTGTGCCAAGAGACAATGCCAGGTAAGAGAGGTAATCTCCCATAAAAGCCTTATTTCCAATCTAATAGGCCATTTCCCAGTTGCCTTTTGCCTCTGTGTCAAAACGAGCTTGAAAACGTGTTTTGCCAAGAGGTTCAATTGGATGCAAAGCAAACACGTTGCAATATGAAAGGTTTTTCAAGGAGACTCGTTTTGAAGCAGAGGCACAAGGTAACTCGGAAATGACCTGTTTCGAAAATCCCAGGAGGGTCTATAAATAGCCAATCCTGTGACGCGGATTTTGCTCGCGTGGACAACCCAAGCGGTTTTACACGCATTTTTCATCCTCCACGAAAACATCCACGCAACACGCGTGTTAACATTTTTCGCCAAAGAACTGTGTACCATGTCTAAATAGAGAATAAACATACGTGTAAAATCACTCGGGCTACCACATGAACAAAACTCCGCGCCATTTCTAGGCCGCCCTGGGGTTTCCGAAACTGGAGGTGACGTAAAAATAACTTGAGATGGATTACCTTGGGAATAAGGTCTATATTGGGGATTAACACTCTTACTCTTCATGCTTTCTTGGCCGTGGTAAACGTAACTTTAATATAACACTCTTCCACGAGGAAAATGTTTTCTAGTTTCGATTAACATTTACACCCTTGATTTACAATTACAGTTGTTTTGGTAAAGTATTTGGAATTTAAATTCTAACTCCTTTGTCAGATCAGAAACTTATCACCTCTGAGGTGATAAGCTCCCGGTCAGATCTATGGTCAAAATTATAGTATTTGTTTCATGTTTCTTTGATAAGGAACGAAGTTCCCAAGAAAACATTACAATTTTGAAATACAAATGCAAGCCTCATTTTCCCTAAGGAGAATAATTTTACCTCCTTGACGGTATGTGAAAAAATATCTATAATTTTGACTTGTTTCTCCTTCACTCTTACCAGAAACTCATTTCGTTTTAATTTTTTCATTTGCTTTGACAAGCTTTTGCTTTTGGCATCACGCGGATAATTTTAAAAAGGCAAAAATTTTGCCAGTTATATTAACGAGCTTTTATTTCCAACCTTAGAATTTGGCAAGTGTTAAACCCAGTTTTACTCATTTTCTTTACAAACATTCTTATATTAGTGTTATACCGATTGATCTGTTTTCATTAGCTTCATCATCTATTATCTCTGTTGGTTATTCTTTCATAAGAGTTTCTGGAAGGTCTTTCATTTTCCTGTGTTGACAATGCGCTGCTCCCTCTGCTGGACACTGAGTATCGCGGGCGCTGTTTTGTTGTTAACTCTGTTTCTTCCTCTTGGATGAATGGCTTGTGACACGAGAAAAGCATGCCGGGATGGTCATCCGGGACTTTAGCGCAAAGTTCCAGAATCAGAAGCAAGAATGTAAGTCCAGTGATAAAGAAAAACACACAGCATACTTTATATAGCGAACGGTATTCGCTACTTCGCCACTTTGGGTCGTCCCCAGGCACAAAATCTCCAAGTCCAATGGTAGTTAGCGATATAAAACAAAAGTACAGCGCTTCAAAATAGCTCCAGTCTTCAAGCAACATGAAGAAAACGGCGGGAATTAGCATTACCAGCACGACAACTCCGCACATTATTAACGATAGATGGAGAAAGCGGAGGTAAGCAGGAGGGATTCCGCGTACAGTGCAAGTACTACACAGAAACGTTTCAAGTAAGTCGGTCAACTGAAGGAGTCTCTCCACAATGGCTGTTAACATGATGGCCGTCATGGGAATACCAAAAACTGCAAACACCATACAAAACACTTTGCCACCATCGGACAGGGGAGCGATATTTCCGTAGCCTGTGAAAACATTGTTTATAGTTAACAGTAATTATAAGCTATGCTAAACGGGGACGTTTATTAAGCTGATGTGAAACGTTTGTTAAGCTTAATCACTACTACATTAATTGAAATGCAAAGGAAATGGTCCACTGCTGTTGAAATTTCAGCCCTTGTTCACTGAAGCTGGAGTGTTAGCACGAGTTACGCTTGCACGAAGTTTTGTTCTGAAATTGACGTGAAAAAGCTAGTCGGGAGGACTTCTTCAAATTCCACATTTGTGTTTTTGAAAAGTCACAAACAGCTTATTCGATTTGCTCAGCTTTCAACAATTCACTCAAATTTTCATCCTTTGTTCCTGGTGCATTTTTTGTAAGTAAAGCTGCTTATGTATTAACCTTGGCCCCGTACAAGTTTTGACCAAAAATACAGCAAAATCCCCGTGATAATGCTCCCTTCATTATACGTGGGAGAAAAAAGCTAAATTAAATCAGGCGGCTTTTTCTTGTCTCTATCGCACCACCATGATCTGAGCAGAATTGACTCTGAACGAGGCCCCGTCCACATTACGCCAGAAAAATTTGAAATGGCGTTTTCACTCCGAAAACGCATCAAATATTTTCCGTCCACACTACGCCAGAGAAATTTGAAAACTCAACAATCACCGGCGGCAGAAATGCTTGAGTGCATCCTTTAGGGTTAGGGTTAATCACAAGATTATCAAGACGTAACCGGTTTAATTTGAAAACCTCCGTTTTCAAAACGTTTTCCGTCCACACTAAAACGTAAGGCCGGCGTTTTCAAATTACTCCAATTTGATGAGAGTTTTCGAAAAGCTCCGTTTTCGATCCGGATTTGTGTGGACGGTAGGCCTGTAAATCATAGAAATAAATCTGCGTTTTCAAATTTCCGGCATAGTCAGTCCTTTGCATAGTAATTTAACCTGTGGATCAGAAGCAATAGGCAGATTTTCATCAATGTGGTCTCGTTAACTTCAAGCTTATGTTACCTCTTGTGATTCATGCTGGCTGAATGCATTAATTGAACAGTCAGGATACACTGAGCAGTTTTCAATTGAGTGTCTTGAAAGTTAATCACTCTGGTCAATCAAAAGTTACACAGACAACCCATCTAGACGGCAAAACGTGTGCAAGCGAGTCACTATTGGTTCTAGTTTTACTTCTAATTGGATGCCTGAGTGGCAAAGTGAGGCGAGTTCTTTTAAGCCTGTCGCGTAGCGTATAGTCTGCGAACACCGACGTATTTTCGGCTGTCACTTGCATGGTTTCTGCGGACCCAGGTGACGACCGGAACTGTACGTCTGTGTTCGCAGGCTACCTAGCGTAGCCATGCCAAACCAAAGTAAATGGGAATGAAAGTCGCTTTAAAAAATAAAATGTTGGCTTGATGCTCGGTTAAAGGCCTTTTTTTTCTTTTTTCGACATGAATTTTCCTCTAGTTTCATGTCTTTTCATTCCGAATTGAGCCACGTTATATCTGTCTGTCTGTTCGTCTTTATGCTTCTTTTAGACTGCCAAATAAGGAAAGCGGACATATTAAAAAGTCTACTCATAGCTTGAAACAGCAACATACCTTGTTTTTAAGCGGACTCATGAAATAAAAATACTCTTAACTAAACTTGCGCTTATGAAACTTAACCAATTGGCACGTCATGTCTTAAATGCAGAAAGGCATAACAGATAAAGGTCGATAATTAAAGAACTCATATATTCCACAAACAAAATCTATGCCAGGGCCTCGAGAGCTTGCGGATCTCAGTTGTAGTGAGAAGATAGAAATAAGATAATGATACTAAAAACTGACACTCGGTGAAAAATGAGGAGTTGTCGATAAGCTGGCCATGAGGTTAAATCAAAAAACAAACAGACTCCAACGCTGTACATCTCATTATCGACACGTTCAGTATCTAGGTTGAAATGTCATTTCTCTAAACTTACTGCCGCAAGTTACTTAAATATAAATACTGAGAACTTAGTTGTACATCAACACTATGTCAGTATCTTTAATTAAGAGAAGAATATTCATCAACTGCGTGATTGACAGTTTGTTGATATTGCTAGAAAAAAATCAGTTACTGAGTAAACATCGATAGTCACTTGATGATATCTTCATCAGAGAAACTAAAAGCGATCAAACCAATATTGCAGCTGAAAGGTCAAAGCAAGATCAGACAGTTCCACTAAAACGGCATAGACTGTACGCAATCATCATGTTCGCACAAAAATACTGCTTTTTTGAATCGTGTGTGTCAGCATAACATAAAGGGCGTCAACTGGAGAAATACCGAACTACAAAACTGATTTCACTTAAAAAATAAAATCTCTCGGTGACGGTGACCACAGAAAAATTTTGTTTTTAAAGAGATGCTGGAATGATTTTAAACTATCAAAGATGATGGAGTTGTGGGACAGCTGAGACACATATGTTTAGATTTTCCACTCAGGTTCAACCGCTCCAGGGAGTGTTTACATTTGTGAACAGATGCGGCATGGCACGAAATGTCAACAGAACTTCGTGAGATAAAACAAAATCACTTTCGAGCAGAGCTTTCATGATCATACACTCGTATGAAATGGATACTAATCTTAAAGCAGTTCCAAATCTATCCTTTTGGGAATCAATTTATTGCGATTGGTTGTCAACTAAATTTTAATGCGATGCAAGATGCTTCACAAGAAAAAACGAAACCATGGCTCCAAACGTAAATATTGTTCCAATAGACTTGTGCCGAAATCGCTTAGTAAATTCGAAAGGAAACCAATCTCCGTTTTCGATAAAAGCGATTTAGGATTTTCAAATGAACTGCCATCTTCAGTCGAAGACTTGTTCTACCGCAGCACAGCTGTTCAACTGAGAGAAATGCTAACACTAAGCGTGCTAATTATCTGCTCTTAGCTAAGGAATTAATTGTTAGTCTTTCTGCTAATTATTCATAATGGTTTCTCAAGGAGCAAACATTTTCAGCGCAGGAAGACTTCGAGAATCCACTGTTTCCTTATTTTTGATTTGCTAAGCTATCAATCCCTGATAGTTCAGGAATAAAACGTTAAATTAACAGAAAAATAGTAAGAATTTGTCGATGGAAATCCATGAGATCAAAAGGTTGAGAATGAATACTTTTACATGATTAGTTTTAACAGTTTAAAGGCAGACATATGGTAGGAAATAAGCATTATTATTCCGTGCTTAACTGGTAAATACGGGTTCTAATAGACCTGCCGGTCACCTGCAGTTTACCATTTTATCTTACCTATTGTGGTTACGACAGTACCCGCGAAGAAAAACGAACTACCGAATCCCCAGCTTCTCTTGTCGCTTGTATTACGAAGTGGATATATTCCCATTTCTTGAGCCGCCACGACATGCTTGACAAAAGCTTTCAGTTCCTTGTCAGTAACACAGGGATGCTTCACAAGGAAATCGTCTCGCTTCTTTCGCAGATCTGACAGAATGCGCTGTTCATAAGGTCCCTCGATCGACGAGAAAATGGCGGCACCGACGGATAGGTAGAAGATGTATACAATCACTAGAGCTATCAGACGGATAGTTGCACGTTCCATGAACGAAATTTGTAGATCAAGAAGTAACTGGATTTCTTCAATGTCGATTGCTCGCAATGCGGGCGATCTGAAGCTGGGCTTTATCCGATCACGCCTAAATTTAGGTTGTTACCAGTGACAGTACAAAGTTATAAAACGTTGTCACTTGCTTGCGTTCAATTGATTGCTGTGGTGATATTTCAGTCGTTAAACGATGCCAAATGTGTTAATCAATTAATAAATCAGCATAACAATGGACTCAGAGGTATCGTTTATAACGAGCGAACGAACGACCTCTGCACTGACAATCAAGATATTAACTTGTTCAACGCTTGCTGATATTGGAAGTTAGTGTGTAACAAAAAGGCTGCATGCTGGAAACTCGGCAAAAAACTTTTACCGACAGATACTCGGTGTTTGGACAAGCATGGAACTAAACGATTAGCGCAACCATGCAAATATTAGTATCACAGATCAAGAGTGTGAACACATCAAAAGCAAACCAATCGCTTTCTATCAAATATTTGATAACGAATGTTAGAAAATTTTGACTCACTTTGTGTTTCTAATATGGATTCTAGAGCTTTTAAAATTAGTCCCGATTAAAACTCTGACAAGATGTTATTGTCAAGATATTTTATGCTGAACTAGGCTTTGTATAAATTTGTACTTGTGCTTAATTTAAATAGAATTACGTAGTAATTGTGCTGATTGTTAATGAGCAAGGCCGCACGATACATTATCAGTTTTAAGAAGAAAATGGTGCGACCGCAGCTGAAAACGTCTTGACGAGAATAGTTTCCACGAACACACAGGAGTTGAACACTTTCCATGATGCTTCACAACTTTCCGAGACTGTTTATCTTCAGATCAAAACTTTTAGTTATTTTGTGAAACTGTAGTTTGTGGTTTTAACCTTCACATGACAGGCATTTTCTGATGTGCCCTCTTTCCAGCGCTTAGTGGGTTTGTCATTAAGATCAAATTTAGCAAAGTGCGTGCTGTGATTGGCTAAATCTGTCTTTCTATAGCTCGCTAGAAATAAAGAAAACGTGTTTTAAAGGGATATCTTTCAGGTAATAGATAAGTCCACAAAAGGGAATAATCGTGTCAGCTTGGGATCACTTGACTTGTAATTCCGCCTCTCCTATCTGACTACTTGATTTGCACTCGTGTTTCAATAACTCTTTTGAAACAGGGACAACATTGTAGACCAATATAAATGACCTGACGCAATACACACGCATACTAATGACTGACGTCATTTGGTCCAAGTGTCGAGCTATCAGAACAAGAGATCACAGAGTTGACTGAAATAAGCCCACTCCTTCTCATAGGTTTTTTTTTTACAGATACGTTACTGCGGAAAAATACGGTATCAGTTAATGCTTATGTTGTCCATAAAGAGAAAACACTCTCGTACGAATATTTATACATGTTTTTGGCTTTTTGTGTGCTTTTTTTTTTATTGTATTAAACTTTTCCCAATATATAATGGCATTTATCATTTATATTCGCTTTAATCCTATATTTAGCTGCATTTATTCAAAAATTTAAAAAAAAAACATTTCAATTCTTAAAATATATATATCCGCATTTTTTTTCACAAAATAACATTTCAATTGCGGCATGTGTAGTTACATAATTTAATACTAGTTATATCGCGGAGCGTAAAGTAAAAGAAACACCGCACATCATCACCTTTCTTTAACTGTCGCCTCCATTTTATCGTTATTCAGTATCTATTCCTTCTAAAATTACCGCGGTATCCATTCAACTACCCAGTCAAAAGACGTTTGGGTACATTGAGATAGAACCTGAAATGATTACAGCTTTAAATCTGTTTCAGTGCTTTATTTATAATCACTGCTGACTTAGATTCAGTAACATAGCGACCAAAATACGATTACAGATCAGGACCAGGTATGAAGGTTCTCTAGTCTCACAAATTTGAACAACGTATAATTTTCTTTTTTATTAGAGAGTTGGAACGCGGGTTTTTCTAACTTCCAATTCTTTAAATATAATATAAATGCTTAATTCATATTCCAGTATATAACCAGCCTATTCTAAGTTCCAAGGTTGTTGAGAAGACAAGATTATGGTGGCTTTCAAAAAAAGGCTATCAGGTCCTTTTTATTCACTTTCGCCCAACGATCTGTCTCTCACAAGCTTGAGGCCTTCATCAAGCTGACCTGCGCAGCAAGCGTTCACGGAATTTGGAGGTTTTTTTCGTATTTTGTTTTTTACCCAGCTCTCAATTTTTTCGCGCCCAATATAAAATGTAGTTATTGTTCGATACGCAGAATAGCAACAATGGTATCATGAGGCCAGGAAATTTAATGAAGAAATGCGAAATTTGCCCGAACGATTTCCCACCAAAAATGTATAAAATTTCAGTTCTTTGTTTCTTGTCTGCCCTTTTGTAATAACACAGAATGACCATTTCCCTTATTCTAAAATCTTGTCCATAGATATACAACACGTAGTACCTTGTCAGCTTGTAGGCCGAGGGCTGGTGAGTGTAAAGACGACATAACCAAAGTTGACTGTCATAGTTGATACAGACTCAAACTTGATACCAATCTATATTTCCCCGCTCTAAAATACGTCTTTATACATGTAGAATCAGGGAACCATGTCAAAGCTGTGAAACGCACGTGCTGATTTAGTCCGCCTGCTGTAATTACTTTGACCAAAACGAATGTAGTGTCGCTTTCTTCGTGGCTGTTCCCGATTGTTGTCGCTTTCTCTTTCCTCGAGAACTCGTCGCCTCGACACCTGTGCGACTGTGAGCACGGCTCAAAACATTCTCACCAGCTGAAGATCGCTGTGAATTGCCCTCGGTTACAATCTCCCTGATGGTTGCCTTATTCAGGCATAAATCAATGTGCTTATTAAGTTCAATCATAGCGTCCTCACCAGGCTTTAAAACTTGTTCTTGTCCACATACAGGACAAAACAAAGCGGGTGACGGCTTTGGGGTCTTTTCTTGCAACGTGTCACTGCAGATTTTTGCATGACTGGAAGATGGCCCAGGACTAGAAAATGGCAATGTTTTACTTGAAAGTAAATTCAGAGCTGGACGTTCAGATGATACACGTGACGCAGTAGACGAATCTTGGTCTGCCATGTGTGAAGCAAATTCTCCTGTAATATCATCACTTTCTTTTGAAGACTCCTGGCCAGGCGGTACAATGCAGAAATTTTCCTCTGTGTTAAACTGTTGGGTAGGTACAAAAGAACTGGGGATTTCCACGCTCTGCTTTTGTTTTAAAAAACCTGTTATCGTGTTCTGCTTGGCTTCTTTTGACGAATCTGAGCTGGACTCTTGAAAATTTGATAAGCGCACTCCCATGAGCCTCAGTCTTAGTGGGTCAGGAAAACATGCGTTTATTTCATTTTTGAGCAGCTCCTTAGCAGCTACAAAAATCTCCTCGTAAGTCGACACAGGACTGAGTGGAGACAACGACCGAGATTTTACTTCAAACTTCACAGTTTTAAGCTTAATTGTGACGGTCTTTCCTTTAAGTTTCTGACCTTTCATATCTTCTGCCAGCGATTGGCAGAGCTTATCACACATGTCCAGTAATTCATCAGGTTTACTGATTTCAGAAAAGGTCGTCTCTGTTCCAATGCTCTTTCTTTTCGAGTCTGTCGCAATGGCAGTGTTTCCCAATCCAAGAGACACTTCCAATAAGAACCTGAAGCTAACTGGCGAGTGTAGGAGATAGAGCAAGTCTCGCTTTGTGTACAAATCTTCACACGTCTCAATTCCGAGAGCTTTTAACATCTGTTCGCTTACTCGTCCAATGCCGCTGATTTTCCTGATGGGGAGACTGTGTACAAACTTCAACACAACATCACGGTCTGGCTCTAAGAAGAACTGTCCGTTCGGCTTGTTACGATCTGAGCAAATCTTTGCTAGCTTCACATTAGGAGCGATTCCGGCGCTAGCTGTCAAACGCGTCTTCTGTTCAATTCGAAAACGTAACTCCCTAACAGCCTCTTGTGCATCGCGGCCAAATTCTACTATCTCCTCCACTGCTTGCTCATTGCCTTGATCATTTTCATTTCCTAACATCGCCTCAATCTGATGTTTTGATCTTACAAACTTGTTCTTCTCTTTATATTTCTGCCTGTCTTGAATGTGCTCTGTTAGATCCAGATATGCCTCGTCTAAGCTTGCCATCGCAAAATTAGGATCGTACTCGGCCAGAATCTCTTGAACTTGTCGGCTATAGTCTTTGTATTTGTCAAAGTGCGTTGGCACGATGATCAGTTCAGGACATAACTTCTTGGCTATAAAGCCTGGCATTGCTGCCCTTACCCCGTAACGCCTAGCCGGGTAGTTTGAAGTAGACAGCATTGCGTTACTACCCACAGCCATGGGTTTGTCACGCAATTCAGGATTGTCCAAGATTTCAACTGCAGCATAAAAGGCATCCATGTCGATATGAACAAACGTACGACTTAAGTCACGAGTCTGCTCCAGTTCTTTCACTATCAAGTTTGTCGTTTCTAAAGCATCTCGTCTCTGCTGCAGAGTAAGTTTTTCAAGGCAGGCGGTTTGTTTAGCAATCCTCTCAGATACTTGCTTTTCTTTCTTTAATTCATTCTCGTAATACCTGGAACCCTTGCTCGCTTCAAATATGATCTGGTTGATTTTTTCTTTATCCAGACCTACCATTCCAGCTTTATGATCATTTAGCTTCATTCTGGTCAGAGTTTTTGAACTTTTATCTGTTGAGATGGAATCGTTTTTCTCGACGTCTTCTTCGATCAGTTTTGAGTCCTCGGCGATGGAATTGTGTTCCATTTTCAAACGCTCTTCCGATAAAATGTTGCTATCTTTATGGTTCCTCAAGCCTCTCCACTCATTTTCTGGTGCAATAAATATTTCAGTCCAATCGTTACATTCTTCTTCATCTTCTAAATCATTGAAGTTTTCTTCATCAGAATTCCTGCTGCAATCCGCCATTTTGGTTTTAGGTAACCAGGCAAATTCCTTTTCCCGCCAATAACAGGATAAGAGCTCATATTACAAACATCACGCTGGCCGATCGATAAGCGTAGCACCATTGGAATGAAGAATTTATGACACAAAAATGGCCAAAAGGAGACCGAATTCGCAATGCCAAGTCATTCCACACGATCATTTTGGTAAGTGGTAACAACGTTGAGCTGAATTATTTTTAAATTTTACATATGTTTTCGTCTGCATACATGTATTATTGGATTTCTTGTGCACGCGATCACAACATCCTGTTCAGCGAAGATTGAATTGCATACGAGCAGCAAATAAGCTTATGCGAGCTGTTGAATCAAGAGTTGAAAATTCATTTTCTATAATGCAAGGCTTAGAGGTTATTATTGTAGCTGAAAAGCTACATAAGTATGCAACTGCCCTTGATTATACGACTTGTCAGTTCTGCGACATATTAAACAAATTGATCTTCTTATGTCTCTTATGCTAATTCATCTATAAGTTTATGTCATTACGTTTTTATTTTATGACCATCAATGATAGCACATAAAGAAGGTTTCAGCTTTCGAATCACCTTAATACAGTTGTTAGAGCATTTTTGCTATGTGTATCGTCATCGTTTGTAAAGATTCTATGCAGCTGGCGTTTATAATCAGGTGGCATTTTACATTGGTTAATAAAGTTTGGCACAGTAGAGACATTAGGGGGATAGTTTATGTAGCTAATCCCACGGAGGCAAGTAAAATATGTTGACGATTTATTCACATATATTTTCAAAGTTTTCATGCTCAGCTGAAAAGTTTTGCTGTGTCTCTATGTCCGGCAGCCTGACAGGTTTTTCAAAATACTCAGTGTCCGGCAGTCAAAATTATTTTTTAAAAATTTCAGTTAACAATGTCAAATCCTTGTTTATATGGCTGAATACTAATTTTGGTGAGCCTGGCACCCGGTATATTGGGATTTATAACGTAGACTATTATAAAGTGACCGGCAGTCAAAACGTTTGAATAGCAATCCGGTTAGCCTAAAAAGCACTCTGGTTAACCTAAATAGCTCTCCGGTTAGCCTGTGTACGGTTAGCTTTCAATAATGCTAAGGGTAACTCTATAAATAATTTTTAAAAATTCCGAAATTTGCCAGCCGGTTGCTGTGGCGCAGTGGTTAGGAGCATCACTTGCCATGCCAGCGACCCAGGTTCAATTCAATTCAATTCAATTTACGGTGTTTTACTTAATAAAAAAATTTCTAAGTCTTACTGCCGGACACGTAGTATTCTAAAAGACCTGTCCAACTGCCAGACATGTAGCCACAGCGGAAAAGTTTGAAGACCCTTTGAAAATACTGACAAGTGAAATTAGTGTGCCTTGTTTAATTCTCCAGGAGCCAGTTCATGTGCATGTACATTAATATACAGTGGCAGATGCAAGCCTGTTTTTAAGGTTGGGGGCTCAAAATAGGGTTAGCACATCCTGCTTCCTAGCACCATTTTTCCTCCATCCTGACATCCTGCTCAGTTACTTCAGACATGTCATCCCGATCCCGCCAAGTTCCAAAGTAATTTAACTATGACAAGATGATGTGTTTCCTGATGAGACACTGAGCTTTCACATGCTAAGGTATTACAACAGGCTTTCGCAGTTGCTCAGGTCACTGTTTATGCTAAACAACATAATGTAAGTTAATTGGTAAATTTCTACAAAAGAGAAACTGTGTTGACGGGCCTGCATGACCACTCCAGTTTGCAGATGAATTGGTTCATTACAACCTTCACAGCTTAGCCTTTACTAGGACATCTTTTATGGATTTCCTTGATACGAGATCAGGTGGGGGGAAGGGGGGTACTCCTTGAAGATTTCTCTCAGTCCTGGTTGATTCTGAATAAGGTGCCTTTTTTCCATGAGTGTGTCCTTAAGGTTAGACAACTCCAGGTGGTATTGCATTACAAAGGGCAGTATTTTCAGTGCTAGTGCCACTTTTCTATCGAAAGTTAATCTCTGACAAGTGTTTTTCTACAATTCTAGCTGGGTAATCTCTATTCTGAAGGTGTGTTTTGAAGTTTCCACTGAAATTTCTCTTCTGTTACTGTTTGATAATTTTGAAAATTTTCAAAATTTCAATCTTGTCCCCAGATCGAACTCCATAGTCAGCAATGACCAAAAGCACTACACTCTGGAAACAGTCAGAAAATTTTGGTTCAATTTGATTGTGCACATATGTTTAAGTTCAATAGCAGTTGCTGAACATGCATAGAGAGTAACCACTCTGGCTAACGCTGGCTCACCTTCCGATATCTCCCACAAATCTCAAGTTTTTTAGTACTTACCCAGAGAATCATGTCCTCTGAGAATCAGATTGTCAAAAATTATAAAATATGATAATGATGAATGACTTACAAACAATATATGTATTAACANATCAAAACTTTTAGTTATTTTGTGAAACTGTAGTTTGTGGTTTTAACCTTCACATGACAGGCATTTTCTGATGTGCCCTCTTTCCAGCGCTTAGTGGGTTTGTCATTAAGATCAAATTTAGCAAAGTGCGTGCTGTGATTGGCTAAATCTGTCTTTCTATAGCTCGCTAGAAATAAAGAAAACGTGTTTTAAAGGGATATCTTTCAGGTAATAGATAAGTCCACAAAAGGGAATAATCGTGTCAGCTTGGGATCACTTGACTTGTAATTCCGCCTCTCCTATCTGACTACTTGATTTGCACTCGTGTTTCAATAACTCTTTTGAAACAGGGACAACATTGTAGACCAATATAAATGACCTGACGCAATACACACGCATACTAATGACTGACGTCATTTGGTCCAAGTGTCGAGCTATCAGAACAAGAGATCACAGAGTTGACTGAAATAAGCCCACTCCTTCTCATAGGTTTTTTTTTTACAGATACGTTACTGCGGAAAAATACGGTATCAGTTAATGCTTATGTTGTCCATAAAGAGAAAACACTCTCGTACGAATATTTATACATGTTTTTGGCTTTTTGTGTGCTTTTTTTTTTATTGTATTAAACTTTTCCCAATATATAATGGCATTTATCATTTATATTCGCTTTAATCCTATATTTAGCTGCATTTATTCAAAAATTTAAAAAAAAAACATTTCAATTCTTAAAATATATATATCCGCATTTTTTTTCACAAAATAACATTTCAATTGCGGCATGTGTAGTTACATAATTTAATACTAGTTATATCGCGGAGCGTAAAGTAAAAGAAACACCGCACATCATCACCTTTCTTTAACTGTCGCCTCCATTTTATCGTTATTCAGTATCTATTCCTTCTAAAATTACCGCGGTATCCATTCAACTACCCAGTCAAAAGACGTTTGGGTACATTGAGATAGAACCTGAAATGATTACAGCTTTAAATCTGTTTCAGTGCTTTATTTATAATCACTGCTGACTTAGATTCAGTAACATAGCGACCAAAATACGATTACAGATCAGGACCAGGTATGAAGGTTCTCTAGTCTCACAAATTTGAACAACGTATAATTTTCTTTTTTATTAGAGAGTTGGAACGCGGGTTTTTCTAACTTCCAATTCTTTAAATATAATATAAATGCTTAATTCATATTCCAGTATATAACCAGCCTATTCTAAGTTCCAAGGTTGTTGAGAAGACAAGATTATGGTGGCTTTCAAAAAAAGGCTATCAGGTCCTTTTTATTCACTTTCGCCCAACGATCTGTCTCTCACAAGCTTGAGGCCTTCATCAAGCTGACCTGCGCAGCAAGCGTTCACGGAATTTGGAGGTTTTTTTCGTATTTTGTTTTTTACCCAGCTCTCAATTTTTTCGCGCCCAATATAAAATGTAGTTATTGTTCGATACGCAGAATAGCAACAATGGTATCATGAGGCCAGGAAATTTAATGAAGAAATGCGAAATTTGCCCGAACGATTTCCCACCAAAAATGTATAAAATTTCAGTTCTTTGTTTCTTGTCTGCCCTTTTGTAATAACACAGAATGACCATTTCCCTTATTCTAAAATCTTGTCCATAGATATACAACACGTAGTACCTTGTCAGCTTGTAGGCCGAGGGCTGGTGAGTGTAAAGACGACATAACCAAAGTTGACTGTCATAGTTGATACAGACTCAAACTTGATACCAATCTATATTTCCCCGCTCTAAAATACGTCTTTATACATGTAGAATCAGGGAACCATGTCAAAGCTGTGAAACGCACGTGCTGATTTAGTCCGCCTGCTGTAATTACTTTGACCAAAACGAATGTAGTGTCGCTTTCTTCGTGGCTGTTCCCGATTGTTGTCGCTTTCTCTTTCCTCGAGAACTCGTCGCCTCGACACCTGTGCGACTGTGAGCACGGCTCAAAACATTCTCACCAGCTGAAGATCGCTGTGAATTGCCCTCGGTTACAATCTCCCTGATGGTTGCCTTATTCAGGCATAAATCAATGTGCTTATTAAGTTCAATCATAGCGTCCTCACCAGGCTTTAAAACTTGTTCTTGTCCACATACAGGACAAAACAAAGCGGGTGACGGCTTTGGGGTCTTTTCTTGCAACGTGTCACTGCAGATTTTTGCATGACTGGAAGATGGCCCAGGACTAGAAAATGGCAATGTTTTACTTGAAAGTAAATTCAGAGCTGGACGTTCAGATGATACACGTGACGCAGTAGACGAATCTTGGTCTGCCATGTGTGAAGCAAATTCTCCTGTAATATCATCACTTTCTTTTGAAGACTCCTGGCCAGGCGGTACAATGCAGAAATTTTCCTCTGTGTTAAACTGTTGGGTAGGTACAAAAGAACTGGGGATTTCCACGCTCTGCTTTTGTTTTAAAAAACCTGTTATCGTGTTCTGCTTGGCTTCTTTTGACGAATCTGAGCTGGACTCTTGAAAATTTGATAAGCGCACTCCCATGAGCCTCAGTCTTAGTGGGTCAGGAAAACATGCGTTTATTTCATTTTTGAGCAGCTCCTTAGCAGCTACAAAAATCTCCTCGTAAGTCGACACAGGACTGAGTGGAGACAACGACCGAGATTTTACTTCAAACTTCACAGTTTTAAGCTTAATTGTGACGGTCTTTCCTTTAAGTTTCTGACCTTTCATATCTTCTGCCAGCGATTGGCAGAGCTTATCACACATGTCCAGTAATTCATCAGGTTTACTGATTTCAGAAAAGGTCGTCTCTGTTCCAATGCTCTTTCTTTTCGAGTCTGTCGCAATGGCAGTGTTTCCCAATCCAAGAGACACTTCCAATAAGAACCTGAAGCTAACTGGCGAGTGTAGGAGATAGAGCAAGTCTCGCTTTGTGTACAAATCTTCACACGTCTCAATTCCGAGAGCTTTTAACATCTGTTCGCTTACTCGTCCAATGCCGCTGATTTTCCTGATGGGGAGACTGTGTACAAACTTCAACACAACATCACGGTCTGGCTCTAAGAAGAACTGTCCGTTCGGCTTGTTACGATCTGAGCAAATCTTTGCTAGCTTCACATTAGGAGCGATTCCGGCGCTAGCTGTCAAACGCGTCTTCTGTTCAATTCGAAAACGTAACTCCCTAACAGCCTCTTGTGCATCGCGGCCAAATTCTACTATCTCCTCCACTGCTTGCTCATTGCCTTGATCATTTTCATTTCCTAACATCGCCTCAATCTGATGTTTTGATCTTACAAACTTGTTCTTCTCTTTATATTTCTGCCTGTCTTGAATGTGCTCTGTTAGATCCAGATATGCCTCGTCTAAGCTTGCCATCGCAAAATTAGGATCGTACTCGGCCAGAATCTCTTGAACTTGTCGGCTATAGTCTTTGTATTTGTCAAAGTGCGTTGGCACGATGATCAGTTCAGGACATAACTTCTTGGCTATAAAGCCTGGCATTGCTGCCCTTACCCCGTAACGCCTAGCCGGGTAGTTTGAAGTAGACAGCATTGCGTTACTACCCACAGCCATGGGTTTGTCACGCAATTCAGGATTGTCCAAGATTTCAACTGCAGCATAAAAGGCATCCATGTCGATATGAACAAACGTACGACTTAAGTCACGAGTCTGCTCCAGTTCTTTCACTATCAAGTTTGTCGTTTCTAAAGCATCTCGTCTCTGCTGCAGAGTAAGTTTTTCAAGGCAGGCGGTTTGTTTAGCAATCCTCTCAGATACTTGCTTTTCTTTCTTTAATTCATTCTCGTAATACCTGGAACCCTTGCTCGCTTCAAATATGATCTGGTTGATTTTTTCTTTATCCAGACCTACCATTCCAGCTTTATGATCATTTAGCTTCATTCTGGTCAGAGTTTTTGAACTTTTATCTGTTGAGATGGAATCGTTTTTCTCGACGTCTTCTTCGATCAGTTTTGAGTCCTCGGCGATGGAATTGTGTTCCATTTTCAAACGCTCTTCCGATAAAATGTTGCTATCTTTATGGTTCCTCAAGCCTCTCCACTCATTTTCTGGTGCAATAAATATTTCAGTCCAATCGTTACATTCTTCTTCATCTTCTAAATCATTGAAGTTTTCTTCATCAGAATTCCTGCTGCAATCCGCCATTTTGGTTTTAGGTAACCAGGCAAATTCCTTTTCCCGCCAATAACAGGATAAGAGCTCATATTACAAACATCACGCTGGCCGATCGATAAGCGTAGCACCATTGGAATGAAGAATTTATGACACAAAAATGGCCAAAAGGAGACCGAATTCGCAATGCCAAGTCATTCCACACGATCATTTTGGTAAGTGGTAACAACGTTGAGCTGAATTATTTTTAAATTTTACATATGTTTTCGTCTGCATACATGTATTATTGGATTTCTTGTGCACGCGATCACAACATCCTGTTCAGCGAAGATTGAATTGCATACGAGCAGCAAATAAGCTTATGCGAGCTGTTGAATCAAGAGTTGAAAATTCATTTTCTATAATGCAAGGCTTAGAGGTTATTATTGTAGCTGAAAAGCTACATAAGTATGCAACTGCCCTTGATTATACGACTTGTCAGTTCTGCGACATATTAAACAAATTGATCTTCTTATGTCTCTTATGCTAATTCATCTATAAGTTTATGTCATTACGTTTTTATTTTATGACCATCAATGATAGCACATAAAGAAGGTTTCAGCTTTCGAATCACCTTAATACAGTTGTTAGAGCATTTTTGCTATGTGTATCGTCATCGTTTGTAAAGATTCTATGCAGCTGGCGTTTATAATCAGGTGGCATTTTACATTGGTTAATAAAGTTTGGCACAGTAGAGACATTAGGGGGATAGTTTATGTAGCTAATCCCACGGAGGCAAGTAAAATATGTTGACGATTTATTCACATATATTTTCAAAGTTTTCATGCTCAGCTGAAAAGTTTTGCTGTGTCTCTATGTCCGGCAGCCTGACAGGTTTTTCAAAATACTCAGTGTCCGGCAGTCAAAATTATTTTTTAGAAATTTCAGTTAACAATGTCAAATCCTTGTTTATATGGCTGAATACTAATTTTGGTGAGCCTGGCACCCGGTATATTGGGATTTATAACGTAGACTATTATAAAGTGACCGGCAGTCAAAACGTTTGAATAGCAATCCGGTTAGCCTAAAAAGCACTCTGGTTAACCTAAATAGCTCTCCGGTTAGCCTGTGTACGGTTAGCTTTCAATAATGCTAAGGGTAACTCTATAAATAATTTTTAAAAATTCCGAAATTTGCCAGCCGGTTGCTGTGGCGCAGTGGTTAGGAGCATCACTTGCCATGCCAGCGACCCAGGTTCAATTCAATTCAATTCAATTTACGGTGTTTTACTTAATAAAAAAATTTCTAAGTCTTACTGCCGGACACGTAGTATTCTAAAAGACCTGTCCAACTGCCAGACATGTAGCCACAGCGGAAAAGTTTGAAGACCCTTTGAAAATACTGACAAGTGAAATTAGTGTGCCTTGTTTAATTCTCCAGGAGCCAGTTCATGTGCATGTACATTAATATACAGTGGCAGATGCAAGCCTGTTTTTAAGGTTGGGGGCTCAAAATAGGGTTAGCACATCCTGCTTCCTAGCACCATTTTTCCTCCATCCTGACATCCTGCTCAGTTACTTCAGACATGTCATCCCGATCCCGCCAAGTTCCAAAGTAATTTAACTATGACAAGATGATGTGTTTCCTGATGAGACACTGAGCTTTCACATGCTAAGGTATTACAACAGGCTTTCGCAGTTGCTCAGGTCACTGTTTATGCTAAACAACATAATGTAAGTTAATTGGTAAATTTCTACAAAAGAGAAACTGTGTTGACGGGCCTGCATGACCACTCCAGTTTGCAGATGAATTGGTTCATTACAACCTTCACAGCTTAGCCTTTACTAGGACATCTTTTATGGATTTCCTTGATACGAGATCAGGTGGGGGGAAGGGGGGTACTCCTTGAAGATTTCTCTCAGTCCTGGTTGATTCTGAATAAGGTGCCTTTTTTCCATGAGTGTGTCCTTAAGGTTAGACAACTCCAGGTGGTATTGCATTACAAAGGGCAGTATTTTCAGTGCTAGTGCCACTTTTCTATCGAAAGTTAATCTCTGACAAGTGTTTTTCTACAATTCTAGCTGGGTAATCTCTATTCTGAAGGTGTGTTTTGAAGTTTCCACTGAAATTTCTCTTCTGTTACTGTTTGATAATTTTGAAAATTTTCAAAATTTCAATCTTGTCCCCAGATCGAACTCCATAGTCAGCAATGACCAAAAGCACTACACTCTGGAAACAGTCAGAAAATTTTGGTTCAATTTGATTGTGCACATATGTTTAAGTTCAATAGCAGTTGCTGAACATGCATAGAGAGTAACCACTCTGGCTAACGCTGGCTCACCTTCCGATATCTCCCACAAATCTCAAGTTTTTTAGTACTTACCCAGAGAATCATGTCCTCTGAGAATCAGATTGTCAAAAATTATAAAATATGATAATGATGAATGACTTACAAACAATATATGTATTAACATATGATTAGCTTCGATTTGCTGATTTGCATAGTATAAGAACGTGCCTTTTTACAAATTCCTTGTCACTTTCCCCTGATGAAGGCTGAAGTTTTAGCCCAAATGTTGGGACTTTTACAAAAATTTTTACTAACATTTATACATTTTTTAAACCAGAGTAACGTTTTTCAATCATATACCCTAAATTGTCAGTAGTGGATGCATAAAGCTTATTTAACCCTTCAGATTTAACAAAGAAGTTATATCCCAAGGACCATGTGAGGTCATGAGGGGCTATTTGTTTGTATATTTTTTTTATTTAGTTATTAACTGACAAATAAATAGGAAATTAAACAAAATAAAAAGAGAAAAATAGTAATATTACAGCACAGTACTAAACCTTACTATTATAGTAAAAACAGTTGGTTACAATACTTACAACAGCACTTACAGTACAACATGATAGTTAACGCTACTTACATCATTTAGTTTACATAGCTAAAACAATAATGTTTGTAAGTGTTAGTATCTGTGCTAGTACATGTATCTGTGTTCTGTTTTGTTGAAAACCCTGTATAGAATCACGCTATATAGATTTGATAAATGTTAGTTGCTGGTTCGTTTTATTTGTCCACCAGTTTTGAAAGGTCTTCCAATAGGCTATAACAGAAGAGCAGCGTAAGAACACAATTTATTATCTAGAGGTACTACCATGTGTACATTGTTGTCAAAAATTTTGTTTCTAAAACAAGTCGTTTTAGTTGCAAGAATGTTGTGTATGATCTTACATTGAAACATTGTTATCTTAATGTCTTACTTGATCTGGAAATTTAGGTTGTCAAGTGACTGTGCGTGTGTACGTGCGTCTGTTGCACGCTTTTTACTTTTCTTCCGACATATTCCTTGCACAATCGTCTCTTGGAAGGTCTCTGATATATTGCGTACGTATTTTCTACAATCTTGGTTATGCTAATTGGGTATAGTTTGTGAAAATTTAATGGGAAAAAATAGCAAAACCACATGCTGAACAAGTGATTGTTTTTTGAGTTTCTGATCCAAGGAAAACAAATCCTCTTTTTCCTTAATGGTTAGCTATTGCAATCAGGAGCTCCACTTTTAGGCTTGGCTAAATCTATGTAATTTATTGGATGGTCATGACGGACTTGATGGAACCCTCCTGGGTAAAAGTTTCATTATTCAAGATGGCTGCCACCTAAGGACAAGGCATTCCTATAAAAATAAAAATAAAAATAAGACTTAATTTAAGGTATGTTAACACTTAATAGCCAAAGGGTAATCAACTTGTGGCCCTTGGAAAATAAAATTACAAACCTAATGAAAAATGAACAATGCTATGAATACAAATAACCTAAAATTATTAGAGATGCGAATAGTTGAATTACAATTATAATTATCATATTAAACACTTCCATTAAATATAGATGTAAAAGCTAAATCCTAAAATGGTCTAAATGTTGCTGCGCTGCAAAGATTGTTTTAATCCTCTTCCTTCTCCTTCTGTTAGGAACCAAGGCATATATACTATAAGATTAAGCATACCATGATTTGCTAAATTTTGGCATTTTTTGACTTGGCAGCAAAATAAGGATTGAAATCTGAGAAAGTGTAGGCCAATTAACGTGGACTTAATCATGATATTTTATTTTATGTTTTGAGCAGGAGATGACAGTCCTGTGTTACTCAGTATACCACAGATGCAGAAACCTTTTGACTATGGTAAGATGACACCAATGAACAAGTTAGGTGAAGTCAGGTCAGATGGGAAGTGTTCCAGATACGTGAGGGGCTTCAGGTCAAAAACCCGATAAGGTTACGTTGGGAGCATTGGGAAGTGACCCGCTGGAATTCCTTATTGACACACTGCATTGAAAAATTATAGGGAACGCCACAGATGGGCTGGGTGGAATGAAATTCCAGGGAGAGTTGCACTTTTATTGATAAATGGGACCTAGATGTACATATTATACAGTGCCAACTGATAACAAATTACAAGAAGCTGTCAGCCTTTCCAGAAAACAACCTGTTTAGCAACTTGTGCACATAACAATAAAGTATGGAACATAGAAACAATGATGTAGAAAGGAATTTAGAATTATTTCAAAAAGATAATAAATACTGTATATTGACTGTCACTTTCACCTTGACAAGGAGCTATTGAATAACTGAACCTCTAAAACCATCCTCTTTCTTCATCAGGATGGCAGCGGGAGATTATTTATAGGCATATAGGATCTGGCAGAAATAGTGATGTCATTTACATAACACCCTGTGGAAAGAAACTGGTAAGAAATATTTCTGTTGAACTTGTACATTTTAATACATGTTTGTTGATAAAAGTTCAATAATTATAGTCATACGGTTAGCCTTAACTGCTGATTTTAAGGGATGAAGTGAAGGGGAGGTAAGTAAGGTATAATTTAATTTATGATTTTCAGAAAGTTAGTTTCTTTGTAATTCCAGTCCTCAGATGTTGATTGTGTGACAGAAAAATGCTTTTAACATTTTCTCTTTAATTATCATCTTTTGTAGAATTGCCGAGCTGATGTAGAAAAATATTGTAAGTATAAATTACATTAACTTTATACATAATTGCTTATTAATTTTAAATAACTATCAAATGGTTAAATAGACATTAAACTATTTATTTAATATACTCCCTTTTGCAACCATCTGGAAAATATGTTACCTCCCCTATGTACTTCTTAATTTACTATAGGAAAGAAATATTCTTTCTGACTGATGGATTTTTTGTTTCACCAGTAAGAGCAGAGAAGATCTGTTATTTGTCTCCAGATTGGTTTTCTTTTGACAGTCATGTTCTAGTTGGTGGAGGAGACAGAGAGGTATGATGTGCTTTTTTTCCATTGAGTGCAGCCTACTTTCCATATTGACAACAAACATTTTAAGAAATTCCAGAATGGGAGCAAATGGTACAGAAAGTTCTGGGAAAGTTTCCAGTAAATCACGTGATTTACTTCAGATATTTTGACTTCACATGCAGTGAAAACATGTATTTTAAATTAATAGTATGTGTGAAATACCTCAATGTCCATTTTAAATTTTAGGTTTCTCGTGCCATTTCAGTCATAGCAACACAGGAACCATGGAGAAAATCCAAGTAAGCTGTGAGCTTATGTGACATCTAAATTATATGTATTCTTTTGTGGGTCTAGTTTGCCAAACAAGCTTAATGTTGAAATCAGTGTGAAGAGCTATGCTAGTAATAAAACACAGCATTTCCATTCTGGACACCTTGGAAACAAGGTAGAGCACCAGTGAAGTTGATTGACACCTTCAGTCAGTGGTTTTAACGCAGTGCATATGGTGATGACAGGTGGCAGTTCCAGCTTTGCCTGGATTTGTCATCCAAGCTGCGTTTTTTTGTCTTTTGGCTATTTGTCTGTTACCTTACCTGTAATCTTGTAAAGCTGGTTGCAGACATCAGGGTGGATATTGCTGGATTGCAGCTTAAATTGCCAGCCGTGGTAGCTGTACTCGATTCTACAATGCCACAATTCAATGCTCCATTGTTTTGGGTTCATGAAGGATTGCTATTTTAGTAGGCAAGTTATTTTTCCTAGTTAATCTGCGCATCTATTGCTCGATTCAGAGTCCAAATTTGTTTCCACTCTTCTTCTTTGTCACTTAGCATAGGACTAATGATTTTATTCCCTAATATGTAGATGGTCTACATTGGTGATATGTACAAGATATTGTCCAAATCGTAATAATGCCAGACCATCACTACAGTGCACCAACTGCAAGAACTTCTTTCACCCAGAATGTGTGTTTCTGTCTACACCAACTGAAATCAAGAAACATAAAGACAACTACATTTGCACAGTGAGTTACAATTCATTTAAGCTGTACATTTACTTGTAGAGTAGTAAAATGGATGAGTGAAGCATTTATAACAAAACTGTATACAGTATATAGATCAGTCATCTTTATTTTGGTTTACAAGTCAACTTGATTTATAAAATAGCGTGCACGCTAGTCCAACCTAATTCCTATTGAGCCATCATGAACGAAATCTCCATATACACACGGCCATGCGTATATAACATGATGTGTGCATTTTCAATATAGCTGCAAAATTTCCGTCGAGGTTAGTGCGAGTTCCTTTTGTTTAAGTTTCGGCAATGTGAAGATTATTCTGAACAATCCAAACCCTACTTCAAGCCTTTGACTTTTGCCGAGCAGAGATGTTTACTTTAAAACTTGAGTATTTTCACTTTGTTTGTCTACATTTTCATTGAGTATTTTTGACTTTGTTTGCCTACATTTTCATTATAATTAAATCAAAGAAGCGAATTTTTCATTGACAAACCAGGTTAAGCATTTTCGTTCAACTGATTGTGGTGTGTTAGGATCCTAATGGCCTTTGTTTTCCTTCACCATGCATTGCAAGAATTTTGTAGTTGATCACAATTAAAACATGTTTTAGTGCCCAATATGTTGTCACCATGTTATAAAAGAATTGGTTCATGCTTTTAGCTGTATGTATGTCAAGTTATGGATGCACTTGGGAAGTTCGGAGAGCACTCAAGAAGCTAGGGTTGCTCTCGGCTATTGTCTCAAGCAACTCTTATGCTTCTTTGGTGCTCTCTAAACTTCCCATGTGCATCCATAACTCGACATACACATACTAAGCATGAACCAATTCTTTATGTTACAATTGGCCTGGCCCTCAGATAGCTAGTAGGGAGTTTAAGAAACCAGGACACAACGCTGAGGACAACGTCGATTAAAAAATTATTTAATTTATATTTTACCTACGAATCTCGCGATACTCTTAAGTCATTTTCGTTTGTTTCTTAA